CCCCCCCCCCCCCCCCCCCCCCCCCCCCCCCCCGCCTCCCTCCCTCCCTCCCTCCTTCCCTCGCTGTCTGTTGTGCCTCAGTTCATTGGAACTTCATCCCATTTATCATCACAGAGTGGCCTTTTGACTCTTTCACCTGTGAGGGACAATGTGCATATGTGTGTGTGTGTGTGTGTGTGTGTGTGTGTGTGTGTGTGTGTGTGTGTGTTGATGGGAGCGGGAAAGGGATTTAGAATGTTATGTTTTGTGAATGGGCAGTGATGTTTACAGTTTACATAGAATGTACTACTATAGTACTATGCCATAAGCTTTCACGGAGAGCAAACACGCGTGTGCTACGGTTAGGGTAGTTCTTTCGTGGTTGGGGTTGCAGGTATGCATTTGAAATTTGACAGAAAATTGCTTTACTATGGTAACAGTGTCTTTGAGATTATTAGAGATACGGTTGGTGATGGGAAATAACAAAGTCCAACTGAACGACCTTACTGAATTAGATCATTAGAGTTTGGGATGATTATAGTTTTCTAAGTTTTGACTATTTTCGAGTATCCAAGCCAGACATTTTGCTTTGACAGCAAGATTAGGGAAATGTTGCGGTGGGGCAGATGTGCACAGAAACCAACTATATAGGCAATAAACCTGCATGAGGACTGACAAAAAAAAAAAAAAAAACCCTGAATGAAGACAATCCAAAATATGATTGGGCTTTGCTGATGGGTAGGGATCAGCCTCCTGATGAGTCGGTGAAACTCCGACGAAACAGTTTGTCACAGTCCCTTGTTTGTTGTCCTCTTCTCCCTCTCTGCCTACGGTTTACCGGGCAGCTCTGTGCTGCTACCGCAGTTTCCACTGCTGCAGTCTCCACTCCTGCAGTTTCCACTGCTGCAGTTTCCACTCCTGGAGTTTTCACTGCTGCAGTGTCTACTGTTGCGGTTTCTACTGCTGCAGTGTCGACTGCTGCAGTTTTCACTGCTGCAGTTTCCACTGCTGCAGTGTCCACTGTTGCGGTTTCCACTGCCGCAGTGTCCACTGCTGCAGTTTCCATTGCTCCAGTTTCCCCTGCTCCAGTTTCCCCTGCTCCAGTTTTCGCTGCTGCAGTTTCTACTGCTGCGGTTTCCGCTGCTGCAGTTTCCACTGCTGCGGTTTCCACTGCTGCAGTTTTCAGGACAGCAGTTTCCCTAACTGTAATTCCCCCTACTTTAGTTTTTACTGCTACAGCTTCCTGTCCCGCATCTCCAATTTAAAGAACATCACAATCTCTCCGACGCTCACGTCCTTTGCTCCGAAATCTTGCCCAATGCACCCCCCTCTCATCTTTGTCTGTGCTTGGCCGTAGACGGCTGCGTTCCTCCTCACCACCCCCATCTCCTCCACGGTCTCGCTTGTGAACAAACTCTCCAGTTTCCATTGTTCCACCTGCGTCGCTAGGTACAAATTCAGCTTTTGTTTGCAACACCACTACTCCTCTTGTTGTGTATCACCGACGACATCCGTGGCATCGTCACTTGTCTGGGGATCAGCAGCCTGTTTCTTTGTCTGCCCCGATTCTCTCTGTCTCCTCCACAGGTTGTTGCGGTTCCTTTGTTTCAAACGGCAATATCCTCTCCTATGCCTCCTGCAGACAGTCCAGCTGCCTGCAGGCAGCCACCAATCCCTACTCAGGATGCAGCCGCTGCGTAGAGTACACTCCCGACTCCAGGTACAGTCCCTACTCAGGATGCAGCCCTAAACGTTGAGGGATTGGAACATGATCTGCCCGGATTGCAGATGACCCCACAAGGCGTAGACCACATGGGGGATCTGCAAATGGCTGACCAACATTGTTCGGATGAACCACAATTTTGTGCTCCGCCACACGCAAACCACATGGGTGATCTGCAAATGACTGACCAGAAACAACCCAACACAGTTTGGGCTTGCAACACCATCTGGGCGATCTGCAAATTGTTGGCCAACATCCAACAAACTAGCCTGATAACCTCACCAATCTCTGTTGTCTGACAGCAACTAATATCTGTCTCCACATTCTCCATCGCTCGTTTTATACACCATCAGACTTCCTTGCAATCACCCTTCAACTTGATGCTTTTCTTCCCCAATGACAACCAGAGGATTGTAATTATACCAGCGAAGGAGGCTTTACCATTGCTGTCCTACAAGTAGCAATGAGGGACCGTCAACTTGAACTAGTGGTTTAATGATTTAATCCTCCATCCCACATCTCTGCCTGCATTGTGCATGGCCCTGGCCATTACATGGCCATTGTACATGCCTCTGACCACTAGGAACTGTGGGACCATTGTACATGCCTCTGACCACTAGGAACTGTGGGACAATGGCACCATGGTCCATGCCATGATTGATGTCACTGATTTCTTACAAAATGATTTTGTTTTCTGTCCGCCTTTTATGTCGAAGATCATTCCTCTGGCCCCGTGCTGCAGCAAG